CATATAAAAAGAAGAAAGTGTATCAGTATTTATCTGTTTCTGCTTCCTGATGCTATGGATGTCCTTGTAACCTGCTAGGTCAGGCTCTTGCCACCATGCCTTCTCTATCACGACGAACTAGAGCATCACATCGTAAACTGATTTTGTCATAGCAAAGAGAAAAATAACTGATACAGGATTTAATTGCTATCTGAATATGTGCAGCCAAAGATTTCCATTTAGATGACATTTTTAAACAGAGTTATAAAAAGAAGACCAACAAACTTATCGTAAATCTACTCATTCAATGACCTCTCTCATCATTTGAATGAGATATGAGATGTATGGGGACTATAGCCTTTCCAATTTCATAGTGTAAAATGGAAATGCATGGAAATTCTTTAGGATCCCAAGAGGGCTGGTGAGGCCCACCAGCACAGAACATTTTCACAGCAGAATTTTTGATGAAATCAGAACCTCAGGTTCCTGACCTCATGTTTCATAATCAGGCAATGCTTAAATCAGAGAACTTTGAAGGGGGTATTTTTCTTGGGGCAATATGGAAAAAACATGTTTGCCTATGACTAATTCTACCCCACATGAACTGTTGGTATTATCTTTGAGGGTTTTCAAGATAAATAGATTGAAGCTGTTGTCAAGTTTGGCTGGATAAAAGCAAACAGACCTAGGGTCTTTGGATGTGTCTGCCCTGCCACAGAGTCGGTCCCTCCCACCTTGATGCTTTTGTGGTCTGGGGAGCTGGGGAAGGGAAACACCCACATGCCACATGGAGGCACGCTCAGAACCATGGTCACGAGTCACCAGCCAGTGAAGTAGTGACAGTTGCTTATGCTGCCCAGTCTGGTGTCAGAGGCCGAGAACACAAACGCAAATAGACACCACCCTCACACTTGGCCTTGAGATGTTCCTTTCATTATGGTAAGATATGCAGAATAAATTGTGCTTACTGAATATCAGAAGCTTAGCTAGAGGAATGCCTGCTTTGCCAGGGATGCAAAGTGACACATCCCAACCCAGCTCTGGCTCTGTGGAGGAGTGCCTTCCTCTGAGGGCCTTGATCACTGCTAAAAATAGAGACCGCGTATTATTTATAAGTTGCAGTCTCCAAGTCCTGCTAGCACTAACACAATGTTAGAAATTAGGGCTATCATGAACAATATGATGTCTCTATTGGGAGAGATACAGCTAAAAAAGATTCTTCAGTCACAGTCAGCAAATGCCTCCCTCAATTCTTACGTATCTCTGAATGTCTACATGCCAAATGCCAGGCCCACAAATCATTCGATGAAAAAATTCACAACCACAGTACATTGTCCTATTATTTCCTGTTGCTGGGTGGTTTCTGAATCCATCTATGGTTTGGGCTCCTGCAGTCAGCTGTTTCTTCCTGCTTGCTTGCTGAAGACTTTCTTATTGCTTAGTTAAGTCGGGTTTATCCAAATGCGGCATCATGGCATCATCCTTGGAACCCAGCAAATTCTCCCTGGTGCACACCGAGATCTTTAATACTGCAGACACAGGCCTCTGTGACGGTACAGGGTTGCGACCCACAGGTTGAGAACTATGACTGTGGACTTTTTCTTGTTGTCCCCTCTATGGCCCCAACTTACAGTTTTTTATTATTTTTTTTTATTAAAAATTTCCATCTCCTCCCCTCCTCCCATGTCCTTTTCCTCCCTTCTCCTTACTCTCCCTCCCCCTCCTTCTTCAGGCCAAAAAGCAGTCAGGGTTCCCTACCCTATGGGAAGTCCAAGGTCCTCCCCACTCCCCCTAGGTCCAGGAAGGTGAGCATCCAAACAGACAAGGCTCCCACAAAGTCCGTCCATGCAGTAGATTCAAAGCCCAGCGCCGCTGTCCTGTCCTTGGCTTCTCAGTCAGCCTCCACCGTCAGCCACATTCACAGAGTCTGGTTTGATCACATGCTCCATCAGTCCTATTCCAACTGACCTTGATCTCCCATTAGATCTGTCCCACCGTCTCAGTGGACCCCTCACGGTTCTGACTTCCTTAATCATGTTCTCTCTCCTTCTGCTCCTCATTAGGACCTTGGGAGCTCAGTACAGTGCTTCAATGTGGGTCTCTGTCTCTACCTCCATCCATCACCAGATGAAGGTTCTATGGTAATATGCAAGATATTTATCAGTGTGGCTATAGGACAAGGCCAGTTGAGACACCCTTTCCTCTGCTGCTCAAGGAACAAGCTGAGGACATCTCCTTGGACACCTGGGAACCCCTCGAGAGTCAAGTCTCTTGCCAACCCTAAAATGACTCCCTTAATTAAGATATATACTTTCCTGCTCCCACATCCACCCCTCCTTCATCCCAACCATCCCATTCCCTCAAGCTTTCCCCATCCTCCCCTTCTCCCTTCTCTCTCCCCCCATCTCCCCTTATCCCCACCTCACCCCATCCCCGTGCTCCCAACCCCTGCCCAGCAATTTTGTCAACTTCCAATATCCAGGAGGATAACTATATGTTTTTCTTTAGGTTCACCTTCTTATTTAGCTTCTCTAGGATCACAATTTATAGGCTCAATGTCCTATATTTATGGCTAGAATCCTCTTAAGAGTGAGTACAAACCGTATTCCTCTTTTTGGGTCTGGATTACCTCACTCAGTAAAGTGTTTTCTATTTCCATCAATTTGCATGCAAAATTCAAGATTTCATTGTTTTTTACCACTGAGTAGAACTCTTGCCCTCCTATACACAAAGAACAAAGAAGCAGAGAGGGAAATCAGAGAAAGATCACCTTTCATGATAGCCACAAATAGCATAAAGTATCTTGGGGTAACTCTAACCAAGGAAGTGAAAGATCTATTTGACAAGAACTTTAAGTCTTTGAAGAAAGAAATTGAAGAGGATACCAGAAAATGGAAGGATCTTTCATGTTCTTGGATTGGGAGGATCAACATAATAAAATTGGCAATTCTACCAAAATCAATCTATAGATTCAATGCAATCCCCATCAAAATCCCAATAAAATTCTTCATAGACCTTGAGAGAACAATAATAAACTTTATATGGAAAAACAAAAAACCCAGGATAGCCAAAACAATCCTATACAATAAAAGTACTTCCAGAGGCATTACCATCCCTGACTTCAAACTCTATTACAGAGCTAGAGCAAGGAAAACAGCTTGGTATTGGCACAAAAACAGGGATGTTGACCAATGGAATCGAATTGAAGACCCAGATATTAATCCACAAACCTATGAACACCTGATTTTTGACAAAGGAGCTAAAATTATACAATGGAAGAAAGAAAGCGTCTTTAACAAATGGTGCTGGCATAACAGGATGTCAACCTGTAGAAGAATGAAAGTAGATCCATATCTATCACCATGCACAAAACTCAAGTCCAAATGGATTAAAGACCTCAATATTAATCTGACCTCACTGAATCTGATAGAAGAGAAAGTGGGAAGTAGTCTACAAGACATGGGCACAGGAGACCACTTCCTATGTAGAACCCCAGTAGCGCAGACAATAAGAACAACAATTAATAAATGGGACCTCCTGAAACTGAAAAGCTTCTGTAAAGTAAAGGACACTGTCAGTAAGACAAAAAGGCAACCTACTGACTGGGAGAAGATCTTCACCAACCCCACATCAGACAAAGGTCTGATCTCCAAAATACATAAAGAACTCAAGAAACTAGACTTTAAAATGCTAATTAACCCAATTAAAAAATGGGACACTGAACTGAACAGAGAATTCTCAACAGAAGTTCGAATGGCCAAAGACACTTAAGGTCATGCTCAACCTCCTTAACGATCAGGGAAATGCAAATCAAAACAACTCTGAGATCCCATCTTACACCTGTCAGAATGGCTAAACTCAAAAACACCAATGATAGCCTATGCTGGAGAGGATGTGGAGTGAGGGGAACACTCATCCATTGTTAGTGGGAATGCAAACTTGTGCAGTCACTTTGGAAATCAGTGTGGCAGTTTCTCAGGAAACTGGGAGTCAACCTACCTCAGGACCCAGCAATTCCACTCTTGGGAATATTCCCAAGAGATGCCCAATCATACTACAAAAGCATTTGTTCAACTATGTTCATAGCAGCACTATTTGTAATAGCCAGAACCTGAAAATGACTTAGGTGCCCCTCGATAGAAGAATGGTTAAAGAAGGTGTGGCACATATACACTTTAGAGTTCTACTCACCCAACTTACAGTTTTGTCACATCAGATCAGCTCTGCTTTCTGAGGCTTCTGATGTCCCTTTCAAAGCTCCACAGTGGCACCATTGCTCACGGATAACAACACCTTTCACTCATTTGTCCTCCTGGGACTCTGAGTGGTTTGTCCAGGTCTGCGTGTTTGCTTTGGTTTCCTTCACAATAGAGAACAACCATCATCAAGATTTTATGCCTACTATCTGGAGAATATCTATTTATTCCTAAAGTGTATTCATAGTTTGTTTCTTTTAGCTTCGGCTTCTCTTTGGATGTATGTTTTGCATTGGCTTAGTACTGTCTTAGCGTTCTCTCTCGGTTTCCCCTTAACTGGAGCTGGTGGTAGTCTGGAGGGCTAATAACCAGGAATGGTGTGGGTGAACCAAATGGGGATGGAGGCCTGGGTTGGTTCCTTCAACCCTTGTGTAGTTCTTTCTGGAAAGCTAGGACATTGGACTTTGGTATAAAACTGATCATCACCTTAAAGTTTAAGACACTTCATCCTTTTATTAGGTCTTTTTCATTTGACGTGGGTAATTCTCAAATGAATGCTTTGTGAGTTTTTTGGTTCACGGTCTTGTTGTGAACTTTGATGTGTGTGCCGAATGGCATCTGTTGGAAACCCAAGCAATGCAAATGCAAGGGAATAGGGAGATGGGGGCTCTTGGGATGAGATCGGGCCTCAAGAGTGGGCTAATGCTTCCATCTAAGGGGTACCCCAGGCAGTGTTCATTATACTGAGAGTTAGTGGGTACCCATGGGTGTTGACTTATGAAAAGATGAGCCATCCTCAATGCATGTTTTTCTGTTTTTCCTAAGTCCTGCGTTGGAATGGCACAGCGAGGCCACAGGCAAGTTCCAGCCCCTTGATCTTGGACTTCACAGATGTCAGACCTGTGAGTAAATAAGCTTCTGTATTATGATCGCCCTGCTCAGATATTCTCACAACAGCACATCGGGAACCAAGAGGCAAATAAGGATTTCTATAGGTTCATCTTTCTGGGTGCTTATTTGCCACACACCTGTGTTTTTAGGGCAGAGATTTGTTCATGGTTCTTTCAGAGAGCCCTTCCCCAGATAGGTGTACATAGAAAATGATAGAACTGACTGGAAGACTCCGGGTCAAGAGTCCACACATATCAGCAGTCATATTACAGCTTCCTTACCCAACCCAAGACTACAGTGTCCAAATATTGGTTGCGGCAGGGAAACAGGATTTACCCAGAATTCCTACCTTCTCTGAAAAAGAACAGTGACTTCTGCCACCAGCTGTGTGCACAAAGATTAGCGCAATGTCCTCTATTTTTCTAGTGACGGAAGCCCACAGGGGAAGACATTCGACCACACTGTTCGGGAAGTCTCCTTCTTGCAGGTTAATGCTGCCTGCCTTCTTTAGTCGGTGTCTCTAAGCACCATATGTAGAGACGTGCCAATGGGAGGCGGTTTAAAATAAGAAAGAATAGAGCAGATTTCAAACCGTTCTTTCTATGCCATTGCGTACACTATAGTATTAAAACATAACAAAAAGGAAAATAAAAGAATCTGTTCTAACAATCTGTTCCCCGAGTCTTGAAAGATACACAAAACAGATCACCCGAGATGAGATGTATGGCTCCTATCCTACCTCCTCAACCCGGCAGAGACAACCCCAGAGCCCCCGAGTGAGGGCGCTTGGAGGGGTCAGCTCATCCATCCCCTTCTTTGAGACAGGAGTAGTAATGAAATCATTGCTTACTGAGGGCAGTTAATAGTCCGAGTGACCAGCACAGAGGCATCATTTCTATTGCCCTCCATAGGATGGCTCGCAAATTACTGTGTCCTGTGGCTTATAAAGTGGAACAAATCTCATCCGAGGATGTGGTCTGCTCTGAGTGTGATGACAGATGCCCCCATTTCTCTGAGAAGACAGATGCTCTGAGCTCACCATGCTGAGTCAACAGGGGAATTTGTACCTGTGAAAGAATACAGCATAAAGTGTGAATATAGTAAAGGTGAATGTATAGGATCCTGTAAGGACTGGTATTCTTCAGCAGGTCCCAGCTTCTCTCAGTGTACTGATGTACTTGCATTGAGCCTCTGCCTCTGTGACTTGGATACAGGAATGTCTGGGTTCAAATCTTGGCTATGTACCTTGATGGTTAAGTGTGTGTCCTTTATCCTATACAGCAGGGCTAGTATGTAATTTGTATGGCCTTTTGGAAGGGCCAGGGGGACTGTCTATCTTAGGCAAAATGAAGGTTTCATTCACTCAGTCTTTCTTTCTTTTTTTCTTAAAAAAACATTTTAATTGAAATAGAATTGCATCACTTTTCCTCTTTCTTTCTTCCCTCCAGCTAATCCCAGCTACCCTCTCTAGAAGCCCTCTCATTGCCACCACTTTTAAGTGGATAGACTCCTGATTATTGTTACATGTGTGCATACATATGTGTGCCCATATTTCTGCACATATGTTTATGTATGTGTGTATGTGTATATTTGTACACACATACATATAGAGATACATATGTACACACACACACACTACTGAGTCTGTTTTTGTTGGTGTATATTTGGTTTTAAGGCTAACCACTCTCCACTGAACAACCAATGAGGGGGCTCATTCTTGCGAGAAGTTGATTCTCCTTCTCCCAGCCGGGGGCTGGTTCTAGTTGCCGGGGGCTCTTAGTCGAGGGTTCAGACCCCAGTTGAAATATTTCCCCTTCCATGTTTACATGTCCATTGATATTGCCATCATTTCTGTCTTATTTGTGCAGTTGTGTTTATAGAGACTGTTTCACAGTAGACGCCTTGGGAAACTGGTCCTTAAACATCTTTCTTTCTACTATTTTGTGATGTCCCTTGAGCCATAGACTCTGGAACTATGATGCAATCGTATCCACTGGAGCTGACTCCCCACAATTTGTTGATCTCTGCACTGGGTCCAGTCACGATCTTCTTTGGTGGTCTCCATTTTCAGTGGAGAGAAGCTGTTTTGATGGCGGATGACGTCTCCTTTTATCAGTGGGCATAAGGATAAAATTTAGACCATAACAGGGAATGGCGCTGGTCTAGCAAAGTAGTGGTAATAGATTCTTCCCGAAGGTCCATGGCCTCACTAGTCCCAGGAGCGAGCTAGGCTTCCTGGTGATTGGCCTGTGGTCCAATTAAACAGCTCTTGGTTGCTCCTGAAATGTGAGTGCACTTATTGGACCTTTATGCGTACCTTGCCAAGCTAGTCCTTGTCACAGTTCACAGGTATTTCTGGGCAGTAACGTTTGGTTGCTTCTCTCCTAGGTAGCTTACACAGTATTTTCAAAAGTCAGCAAAACTAGACCCCAGAAATGAGACTTTTAGGTCAGACTCAGCTGGAATCCACTGAGTTAGATGGTGTAAGTGTGCAGTGCCTTCAGAAATGGGGACCCGTCCTCAATCCCTAAAGGCTACATCTTACAAACTATGCTGTTTAGGGTGTTACTTGGACTGTTCTCATACCTGGCACCAGGGTTTTTGTTATTCTAAGGTTCTTGAAGGTCAGCCCAAGTAGTTTAACCTCTCTCTCTTTCTCTCTCTCTCTCTCTCTCTCTCTCTCTCTCTGTGTGTGTGTGTGTGTGAGAGTGTGTGTGTGTGTGAGTGTGTGTGTGTGTGTTTGTGCACTCACTTATATGTACTATGTATAATTTTAGGTAAATATAATATTGTATGATTCCTTGAAGCTTTATCAAACAACCTTGGTGTCATTTGTCCCTCCTTCCTTTCCCTACTCCTTGCTGCTGCTGGTGTTAATGCAGGGTGTTCTTTGCTCTGCCGTTGACGGCAGCCTTTATGTGATCTTGTGCTCCTGAGCATCTCACCTAGGAGCTTACTGATTTTATTTTACTTCGATAAGACGCAATAAGCACTGATATCAAAGTCACACCCAGCTTCATAAAGACCTAGGCCTTACAATTCTGTTTTTTTTTTGTTTTGCTTTTATGTATAAGTTAAGATCTTCCCACAAATCTGACCGTATCATAGCCTTTGTGACTTTGTCGTTGTTTGCACCCCATCTGTGAAGCCCCCCACCCTAGAATCAATTGCGTTTTAATTACCCATGGTGGTCCTTGTTGCCTGTCATGGGTTAGTGCATAACAGCTGAGCGCTGCTTTCATGCTTTAGGAGGAGTTCTCAATGTATTTACAGCACTGTGGGACATGTCTGCTGGCGGCTTCATCTTGTTTTCTATGGGCATTGAGAAGACACAGGGTTTATTAGGCCTCACTTGATGGCATAGTTTCAGTTAAAAGATCAGCCTCCCTCCCTGCCGACCTTGGCTTTGTTTTCTGGTGGATTCTACAGAAGATGCTTCAACTGTGTTTAAAGACAAGAAATCGTATTTCCTTCTTCTAAGACTGGGTTTTTATCACTGGAAATTTACATATTTATTGAAATCTTTGCTAAGGGACAACTGAGGCATAGAAGACTGGACTCCAGGGAGACAGATGCCAGGGTACAGATAGCTATTTACATCTGCAGAAGTCACCGAGATCCAGTGAGCTTCATTCTCTTTTTTATCTGGTGAAGACAGGGCTTGCAGGGCTATCCCAGGTATCCCAAGGGAGTTTGGGTGTGAACTTTACTGGTAGATCCTACTCAGGGCCAGATTAAACAAAAGCAATAGCAAAATCCTTCTAGATCTGCTCCTTCTGTCGAGAAACAATACATAGATTCAGTAGTTCCTAAAATACCTACTATTTAGATCAGTTTCACCATGCCTTTGGCAATGAAATATTTTTTAAATTTATTTATTTTATTTATTTATTAAAAATTTCTACCTCTTCCCAGCCTCCTTTTCCCCTCCCCCTCTTCCTCCCCACCTTCACCTCCCCACCTTCCCCTCCCTCTCTAGTCTTAAGAGGAATCAGGGTTCCCTGCCCCTTGGGAAGTCCAAGGTCCTCCCCCATCCATACAGGTCTTTAAAGGTGAACATCCAAACAAACCAGGCTCCCACAAAGTCAGACCTTGCAGTAGAATTAAATCCCAATGCCATTGTCCTTGGCTTCTCAGTCAGTCTTCATTGCCAGCCACATTCAGAGTGTCCATTTTGATCACATGCTCCATTGCTCCCAGTGAAATATTTTTAAAGATAAGTCTAAGAGCCAGGTTGCTGGCTTTATTTCTCAGTTAGTTTCTGTTTCCCCTGCTGACCTGACGATTAGTTCACATGTAGATTAATGAATGATATGCAGTATATTATTTAAGTTTGTAGTTAGTGCAAATTCTACCAATCACTTTTTACAATGCAAAGTCAATATCCAAGCTCTTTGCATTTGAATAATGATTTGTCAACATTTTATCCTTCCTATGTCTTTCCATGGAACTTCTCAGTGACTGAAAATCCTTACACTTAACTTCCCACAGGGAGCTAGGGGTTCATTCCATTCATTTGGCTGGGAAAGCCTAGGGTTTCGAAGGTATGACCTAGGAAACTGCTAGCCAGGGACCTGAGATCACATATTTTATGTGAACTTTGGAAAGTGGTTTTGTTCCTCTGCTCTGATCCTTATTCACAAAATGCAGTTATTTATCCTGAAGCACCAACCTTCTAAGAGTGTGAACGATGGGCACCAGCTCCTCCCTGTCCCAGAGCAAATCCACCACTGAGAAAACACTGTGTGGAGCTGAGATCCGGAGTTCCCAGACCCCAGGCTCCTGCTCCTTTCCAGACTCCTCCCTGCTCTCAAACAGTCTGAACATGCTCTGCACATGTCTGGATCACCAATGACAGACGTTCTTTTCCATGCATCCCCTTGGATGGACATTCAGGCATCCATGGCCTGGGAACATATAGGCCAGGTATTTTATGTATGTGAATGCATTCTTTCTTATGTAATGTCTTCAACAGAGAGTAAAGAAATACATCTCCACCAGCTGCTAGCTC